GCCGGTTGCAATTCGACAAAAATTGTTCAAAATCCTTACTAAGGCACATCAGCAATGCCAGCATGGTGGCCGAGATAAGACATCTGCTCAGGTCCGGCAGGTCTATTCATGGTAGGCAAATCAAAGATATATTATATATATTGTGCTTGATTTATAGCTACTGAATATATTATTAGGGTCCCAAAGGAACTGATCGCCCGATTTGTTAAGATTTGTCCAACTTGCCAGGTACGCCGTGGGAGGATCTATTGCTGACAAGCTCGCGATAAGGGATGGAATTTTTTGTCATTTCATTCATTTTTTGTTCTTTGTCGAGTTCGCAGAGATACATCCGCTCAGGCAGCACTTGATTTGTATATTGATCTATCATTGATCTAAGGAGGGGCGCTTCGTGCGTGTTATTCTTATGCTCTAGGAATATGTGATCGGATAAATCCTCCTAAGCTCGGAAGGAAAAGGAATACTACAGCATATTTTGCCGACTTTTGATCAAGGGGGAACGATTTGTGGATACTAAGTTACGATTATGTTCCACGATCTTTTGACCAGAGTATCTGAAAATTTCCCAATCGCTACAGTCAGTGAAAACCCTGATAATAGAGCAGCAGAAATGGTTCAAAGTAGTTTGTATGTTGTTTTCCTTTGCTTTGTTTTTTATCCTGACGAGGTTAATCAGCGCCAGCTGCCAACCTTCCTTACGCTGAGCTAGTCACTTTAATAAAATGACCATAAGGATATACGTATCATTGGGGAAGTTAAATGGGTGACATAATGTGGTCCCGAGCAGAGTCTAGGGCCTAGTATATATACCGCTGCAGTGACAATCGGGGGTTCCGATTGTCTCTATGATCTTTTGGCCTAGTGGTAAAATGTATCTTATGTAATCACTTAGGTGTAGCGGCCTAAGTAAACCTGCTGTCCCGGCAGGATTACAATAATGTGAGGGAAATGTCACATGACACTAATTTCCGAGGCGCCCTTTATCAATCGACTTTAAACCTATTCTCACCTGGATATCTCTACAACCAGGTTCAAAACCAGTTATCATCTCGATATTTTATTTTCCTGAACAAGAAAGTCTATCATGGAGGAAGAGGGTACTTGGATCAACCTATTTTTCTCTGGCAGCCGTCAAAACATCCTGAATGCCAACGAAATTGAGGGCCAAAAATTCCGACCTTTTTGTGCTGAAGACGACAACTGGGAGCTGGGAGGCAGGGCCGATATATCAAGAGTACCAGATACAAACAGTATTCAGGTGTTTTGGCTTCGGATCAAAGGACGCAGAAAATTTGTCGGTAAAGTTGTAAGTAGAGACGATCATTAAACGCGTGCTCCGATTAATCCTATACCAGTTTCCTTGCTATTCTAAGCGAGATGCCATCATACAACTTCACCGTATCGGAGTACTGCCAAGTCCAGAAAACATAGGCGATGCTATATACGAGTTCGATAGATTTTATCGGGAGGCGCGGGCATACAGCCATATTGACCTATTCTGTCCCGCCCGTGAAAGGATCTACTTCCCACAATACCATGGAGTGATCACCGATATACCTCAATCTCGATTTTCATCTGGGTATTATCACAAGCGAGCGGTTGTGCTAGAGGCAATAAAACCGGACTTACGCTCTCGACGCGTTCTTAGTGAAGTTGTCAATCACCACCCCGAAACCTTCTTAGCTATCCTTGAAACCCTATCCTCAAAGTTTTGCACAACAAATACTGTGCTTTCTTTAAGCTCGTTTGAGCAGGAGTGGTATCATTCTTTGCTGAAAGATCGGATTCGTCGCCTAGATACTTTACATCGGATTGGCATAACACATGGCGATATCCGTGATATCCACTTTCGACTTCCCAATGACATTTACGATACAGTTCTATACGACTTCTCCGAGTCGTACACCTTCTCTAGGAAGCAGCCTTTTCGAGTATGTGGCGGAAGACTTCGACCTTTAAGCCTGATATCAGAGGGTGAACGTGAACGTGTTCTTCTACATGTCCTAGATCGGTAAGAAAGAAGACTTTAGTCTTTACATCGCCACTAATATACTTTTAGAGCCGCCTCACGAGATCTTCGTTCCCACCTGATACGTTTCAACCGTAAAGCTTCGGTTGCCGGTATTGACTCTAAGCATATCTCTTCTGTTGATGATGCACTCTGGAAGTCTCTCGATAAAGAAGAGGATTTGTTAGAGTTGATCATACTAAGAGTCTCCTATCACCCAGATGGTGAGTTTTTATTGACCCGTTCCTAGGTTTTAGATGTGATCATTAATTATACTAGAGTTTTCGATGCCGACCTTGAATTCCATTTTCCCATTCCTGGAAGCCGTATGCCCGAACTCTGACCTCTGCTGGCATATTCGTCGAGGTAGACTTTTACGTCAATATGAGTCAGTTTGGGCGGTCTTTTGTGACGATAAAACCCACCCCCAATCAATCACATTTGATTTTGAGCCGCAATTTGAAACGATTGAAAAAATGAAGGCCACTTGTTTCATACTTTGCTTAGTACCACATTCATGGGGGATTAGGTCAGTGACGAAGTTTCATTTTGCCGGACTTATTGAGCTACGGAAATATTGCGCTCGTTTTGCCACAACAGCAAAATTACCCGGGGAAATACTAAGTCGAGACGAGTTTTGGAAAGAAGCGGAGTCTAGAGGAATGGGTGATATAGAATCATGAATAATAAAAACCTTACCGCTACTTTTTTTTTCTTTTGTGATATTGTTTAGATAGGAAGCCCCAGATCTTTACCCATTAGATGATTTAAGTCGCTATGGTTCTGGCTATTCTAGCTTCGATATATCCACAAGAGAAACCCAATCGTTAAAAAATGGCTTTCGACGCGGAGTAAATTGTACCAAGGAAGCATAGCACAAACAAACAATTTACATAAATTGAAATTTTGCATTTGCAGCAAGCTTCGTAGCCCCTAGTTACCGTACCTTATACTAAGAAGTTGCTATATAGGAATATATGCAATTCTTGTATCAATTGCCTTAACAAAATTGTGAATATCCCCGACGGGAATATTCACATGCAGATTTCAAGATGGCTAAGATAATGGTGAATCCCGCTTCGTCCGTAATAACAAATAACAATACCACTCAACCGGGTATTAATTTAAGTATATATAGCTTACTTTGCCTCGAGCAAAATTCATTTCAAAATTTATTTTGGCAATCCTTTCAAGAGATTTCTCGATATGGCCGAAACCCTTCTTAGCTACCTAACGACACGCAACCCAAATGTCTACCCGTTTGCAAAACCACAAACAAGCTTCACATTCAGTTCAGACTGGGACCCAGTTGATAGTATAAGAGAATGGACCGATTTCAATTACGATACTCTGCACATGCGCTTCAGAAATGAGTTGAGCCGTCATGTATCCCCGTTTGATACTGCCAAGAACTGTGAAGACGGAGGTTTCAACAATATCTTTGACGAACGTGGCCTCTCTGATCTCATATGCATGTCTATTATGGGTCCTGTATCGGCAGTACTTCCTTCCTCATTCATTACCTCCGGCGGAAGAGTTACGCAGCATATAGGATGCATCCCTGACTGGGGCGCTGGGAAGGATGCGGCTAGAGATCAGTTTGGAAAGGCTAAGGCTCTTGTTCTTGGAGACACAAAATTCAACTGGTCGTCAATGAGCGCCATTAATGTTGTCCAGAACATGAGAAACGGGTTCTATGAAGATTCGAACTTGATCGACTCAGTCAGACCTATCGAGCAAGTCCAACATTATGGGGCTGTTTACGGATGTCGGTATGTGTACATTATCAGCGATCAAGAGCTCGTGGTAATGCAGCTCCATTTGGCACCAGCCCCATTTCGAACATCACCCAGACCTCAACGCACTCGCCTACCACCTTCACATCAGCGGGTAACATCTTCTTCCACTATTTCGAAGCAGTTGACGGATATATCTCTCGACGAGTCATCCTTCAGAGCAAGTATTGGGCTGGTGGAATACAAGAGAATTCCTTGGAGCGCTACAAGCGGACTTACGATCAAACTGGCATTATATTGCCTTGTTCGTTTAGCAGCCGAGGATGGGAGTGATCTCAAAACTGATTACCCGCGTTTGACGTCTCAAGTCGAGTCATCTGGTACTCAACTTCTGCCATCAATGGTCCTACCGACCTCGGAGCCACGAATCATTATAGGAACATCGAGCACTGTCACCAGCACACTCCAAACAAGCAATGAAGCGGCGGCCCAATTTTACGATGTCACTGTACAATGGAACAAAGCTCGTACTGGTTACGTATACCAAGACAATTACGGCAAATGGGTCTTCGATGACTCAACATCCAATTGGAAGCAGATTGGGAACCAAATCTACAAATTCCAGGGAGCCCCGCCGTATGCGCGCTCATCCATACCCCATTGATTTTCTTGTCACAAGGTTCATCTACTATTCAACATAGGATGGTGCGACAGAATCCAGTCATTGTGATTTCGCCCGTTCAACCAACACGGAAATCAACTATTTATGATCTAAAGATGTCTAGGCTCGATGCAATTTTCTTATGTTCATTATCTAAATTGTAAATTCTTATTTTCTCAAAACTATCTGTTGATAAGATATCATTTTGGGTTTCACTTTATATTATATCCTAGGATGAGAGGGAGATTTACTAGGTCTTGATACTAGAGAAACTTTGAGACTGGTATTGAATGGCTTCAATTTCCGCCCGCAATTAATACTCTTGGGCCCGTGACTGGGAAGACTGCGCCCACAGTTTCACCACTAAGGGATCTCTCAATC